AACAGAACCATTGATACCTAAATACCCTTATCACTTCAACAGAAAAGATTGCAGCTGTGCTGGAAAATTTCCAAAGTAGAAGTAAAGCCAGATCAATAGCATTTGTTTGCCAGGTAAGTTCAACAATCCTCATTAAAAGGATGAGAGTGAGAAGCATTTAAACTGCAGCATAGGATTTGTCATCATCTGGCTCAGGGGTTTCATTAATGTCTTCAGCAAGAGGGCACCTGGTTTTCACAGGCAGGCAAAACTTTTCTGAATTGACCTTCTTTATATGAAAAACATTCCTCTAAATGGTTCAACCAAGCAGGCAAAATCATCCTCAGAGCTTGTCAATTTGCCCAGTGCCTGCTAAGTGGCCCATAATAGAACCACTGGTGGCTAACAAAGGTCATACAAACTAAGTGATTGAACTGAGATTTCATCATTAAAATTTTATAAAGTTCTGTGAAGAAGATCAAAGCAGTAGTTTACATACATTTGTCAAGAAGTAACTCTCTCAAATTATCACCAATTTTCATTATTATGTAGTCATCTTTCCTGTTTTTGTTTTAACATCAGGGTGGTCCTGGCTTCTGCAACCCTGTGAAGGGAAAGATGTTCACCAAAGCCAAGTTGAAACAAGATGAAGAAATAAGCAGGTACAGTTTCACAATAATTATTAGTACCTTACAAATGGCCAAATCGAACCCAAGGAAGTCTGATGCAACACATGTGAACATGATGTCATGAACATCTACAATTTCACCCAGTGTAAGGCCAACCTTATTTCATTCCCAGATCTGACTCTGTTTGATACTGAAAGGTAAGATCTGGAAAAGTTTGATACTACACCATTTTGTATTGGCTACTTCGCTGTGGGAGATCAGGGTACAAGATTAGGTCCAACCATCAATGGCTGGGGCATGTATTAAAGGTCGCTTTTTTGTGTGGTTTTCTGTTACAGTCAGCATGAGAAGGAGTAGGATAAATCGCTATGATCTACCACTGACTTTAAAAAACTCTGCTCTTGATTTCACAGTTTCTGGAAGAATCTTGGTACATACATGTCCAAGATAGATCCAGAGCAGACAAAGATACACTTCATTGGCAATAATGTGACTGGAAATAAGAAAGGAGAAAAATTAATGAAGTTCCTTTCCAAAGCAATGCGACCATCAAAGGTCAAGGTTGAATCCCCATTAGAACTAGGGCAATCAGGTGGGTGATAGACAGTTTGTCACTTCCAACAAATAATGCACATTCAGAGGTGTCTGATCAGGTGTAAGGATGTTAGGATGCCATTAGAGTCACCTTTTCAAG